CTGCTGTGACTAACTGATACCTGAAGGACATACTTCTCTTATATTGCTAAAAAAAAAAACAAAAAAAAACCCCTCTGTCAGAAATACTTTATAGAAACGTGTGCAAATAGGAAACTTGACATGATCTTCACACATAGCAAAGTTAAGTGTGTCCAGCCGTCAAACTTTGGGACCCTGCAGAGGCATTCTGCTGATTTGTCCTGGCACACAGAGCTGGCAGATCTCAAGTTTCAGGCGAGGTCAGGATTTCAGACCGAAGCCAACCTTTTCAAATGTGGATGGCCCACACTTTAAGCTCTCAAACTCATATTTGCACCCCCAGAAAAGTGGTCTGCTTTTCAGGAGTATGCTGATCATACTTTGACAGATCTTTTGAAAATAAGACCATTAATTCTGATGCCTAGATATACACCACTGGGAATCTAATTTTAGGGATCCATTTTAAAATTCTGGGCCTGGCCACCCACAAGGGAAACGAGAGCTGTCAGAAAAGGAGAAACCCCTTGTATTTCTAAGCAGATTCCTGATCAATTGTGTGGGTTTTTTACACTCATTTAAAAATAAAAGCCAATAAGGAATAGGGGAATGTTTGGATCGCACCACGGAGAACATTTTTAGTGCAGGGAATTGCTGCGGCAATTAATAATGATGTGAACACAGGAACATTGTATTGACAAAAACACCTGCTAGCCAGGAACCAGGTCAAGCTATATGGTGAGGACGACAGAAAACAGACTAGCGGTGGAAAAACATACAGCCTTGGCAGAAAGATGTGGTGGTTGGGAAAGATCAGCTAGGGACCTCTAGAAACAGTGATGGGGTAATAGTAACCAGGGAGTACTAATTGCAAGCAAGCAGAGAGCTCTAAACCTTTCCCATTTTCTGACACTAACCCTAGGTCAAGCTTCTCCAGCAGCCCCATGCAGGAGGCTCCGAGTGCTTGCAAAGACCTCAAAGAACATCATTACATCCAGCCAGAAGATCCCTATGTGCCAAATCTCCTCTACAGCAAGAGGGACTCTCCCATCCCCTAAGCCTGATCCCATTCATGGGGGCTGTCTCGATGCCAGTATTGGGTATATCTCTATATCTTCCCCTTATCTGTCAAATTTGTCTGGGCAGCCAACATTACTTGGTTGTCAGAGGCCTTCCTAGATTTAAGACATGCTTGCAAATGGAGCCTTTGAAGCTGTATAAACACCTACAGTATCAGCTGGAATGCCCCTCTTACATAGCCGGAGCCGGGGAGGTGTGAGATTATTATTTCCTTAGGATGTGCAAGAGGACCTAGATTCCTGGTTACATGCAGTGTGCTCTTTCCTCTCCTAAAGGCTCCTCAGACCAATAAAGCAGCCTTTCAAGAGGGTTCTGTCATCCACTGGACAATCACTTACCAGCTTATCTTCCTCCTGCTGTTGGCTAGAGGATTTTTCCACTTTTGGAACAGACTGAGACGTCTTGGGAGAATCAAGGCCAGAACTGCCCCGCTCAGCATTGCGGTTGATAGTCTTCTCCTGTAACAAAAGGAGATGTCGCACTGGGAACATTTGATGTTTTTACAGAGAGAAGCCAAAGATCATCCCTCAAGGTTTCCAGCGAGATTCCTCCATGAGAAAGCAGCTGAGATGCAAACAACCAATAGAAGTATCTTGTCAGGCTCCAAGCCTTCAGTGGTTGCCATCCTCAGGAATACATGTTGCAAGCACAACATTTTGGTATTTATCATTTTTCTATCATCGTGCTGTTATCTACCCTCCACAACGTCCTGCTGCCTCCCTTAGGAAACGAGTGGACCTCACTAACTGGCAAGGAAGTTTCCCTCCATACAGAAGAGAATTAGGTGACTCCGTGTCCCCTTAGACCGCCCACAACATTTGTGTCCCCATGCATACGCTGCACTGGAAAGAGGGCTAGAAAGGGATGGTGCCAAAGAGGACTCTATTCTAGCTCAGGATTCCCCCTTCAACCATAGCTTTTCTGCTTGGTTTAAGGTCCCTTGTTCATCTCACGAGTAGCTGAACTCCTCACCAGGGGGCTCAGGACTTTGACCCCTATATTTCGTAGAAGTAAATTGAATATTAAACCCCCAAGATTTCTTATACTTCATTGCCTTCAGTGTTTGCACAAAGGGTTTTTGCATACCTGTCCACGTTGCTATTGATCAGGGCCTCTTTCCATTAGTCTGGAGATGAACAATTGGGAATGGAAACATTAGGCAAGTCAGGGTTTTACCATGTAGTTGGAAACTATGCAGCATGAATAATAGGAACCTCTAAACCTAATCCACAACACAGGGGAATTGACAATTCAAAGGAAGGTGGCTTTTCCCAAGACTATCAAGACTGCCATGCAGTTTCAGAAAGATTGAAGAGACTGTAACACACAGCAATTTGATACTAAAATAAGAGACACCTGAAATAATGCTGCAAACAAAAGAAACATTGATAAGTGACCATATATGGCAGCATCAGAATTCAGCAAATAGCTTTAGATGAAAAATATGAACAAATTCACAGAGATATAACCCGTTTGCTTTCCACTGTTCTCAACAAAATGTTTCAATTTTCTGTTTCAAGATTACATTTGTCACAAACTGCCAAATGTGCCACCTGCCTCCAGGAGATTTTTTGCTTTGGTTCAAGCATATTTTTTCATTCAACCCCAAATAAAATTTTTCCTCCTCCTCCAAAAAATGAAAAGTGTTTGTTTTCCAATTATTTGTAAAGTTCCACTCAACACCCAGAAGTCTGAAGCAGTACTTATGTTAGAAATGGGTTGCAAACTTTGGGTCAGATCTCAAATCTCAGTAGAGTTTGGAGCCAGGTCTCTTCCGGTTTCATATTATTAACTCAAGAAATTACTGAAGCATAATAACTACATAACTCCACAAAATGCTTGGAGCTATCATAAGAATTCAGTACTGAAAATGCCTGTACTACACTTCGTGGTTGTTTTTTTTCTCTCCAAATTTGAAAGCTAAGGCATCTCTAGGTCTTCTCAGGGTGCTTTTCATTCTGTACAAGTAAATAAAATGTATTTGTCAATTTAAAACTGGGCTAAGTAGATGGGTTGCCTTCACCTACCGTTTGGATTTGTCCCGTTTTGCAGGCACAATGGCCCGTTTGAATCAAGAATGCCAAGAACAGGTTCAAGAGAAATCCCCATAGGCAAGTCCACTTTTATGCAGGCTCAAGAATAAAAAATGCAATAGCATAGGCAGCTCCAACAGACAACTCCACCTTCACTTTGCTTTTACAAAGAAGCTACTTTACATAATACAAATTATTTCAAATCTATCAAAAACTGAGTAGTGAAGACATGCACACACATTCTATATATTCCACAAAGTGAATTTTGACCACTCAATGTGCTTTAATGGCAGAAAAGTAATCTGCTGAGTCAACGTAGATTTAAAAGGAAGGGGGAAGAAAAGAGATTTATCTACAGAAAGGTCACAGCTTTTCTCCCAGGAAAACTGTTTCCATAAATGCAATGTA